AATATGTTCGAGAAACTTTCGATGGAGCCCAGCACTGCTCTGATGGCCTGTAATCTTGAGTTGCTTTATTTTTTCTTATCAATATAATCTTTATGCACTACTTGCTGGCCTGTTACTGCATTGCGAAAGTCGACAACAATTTCCCTTGTGAATTCTTGAATTCTTTACAGTAGTTATCTAGAAGAAGCTGTAGAAGTAGGGGGTGCGGCACTCATTTCAATTCCAATCTCGGACTAGAGTGAAAAAGAAAAAGATAACCTATTTAATGGCGCGTATAATCATTTTCTTATGTTTTTCTTTTTTACTTCCCATTCAAACGGTTTGGTTCTCGAATTTTGCTTACAGGCATAGGGAAGGACAATCCATTTCTTTCTGAACGATTAACCGGAACCGTTCCTTGACAACCGAAGCATATACCGTTGATCTCTGCGTATCATACTATGTGATGAAAGGCAGGTTTCATTTTCGGTATTTTATTTTTAAAATCATATCCTGTTCTTTACTTTCGCGGCTATAGTCGCTAAAAGTAAAACTGCTCTTGGGTAGAAAAAGTAAGTGGAAATAAGAGTACTCTCATATTTAAAATCCGTGTCTCAAAAATAACATACACGTCCACATACATTACAAATAACATTACAGACATTACAAATACTTCGCACATTATTTTTCTTTTGAAAACAGTAGATTAGCTGATTCTAAACATTTTCCAATTACTTATACTTGCAATAACAACATTTAATATAATCCAATAGAAGAAACGTATACTTTTATTATTATTAATAATAATAATTTATGGCGATAACTAGTCATTTTAGCTTTGGCTTTGGCCACTACAAGAAGCGATGGTCATTTTATTATGGATGCATCTAATAGGCGACAGCCATTATCTCCTATGAAGAGACAGGCAATTTACATCCATGCCCTTTTTCGGGACTCGAACCAGGGCCCTTCGGTGCGGCTGTTATAGTCACTAACCAATTTCCCGTCTATGCTACTTTATTATTAAAATCGTTATCTACTCTATATAGAACGTAAAAACTTATATTTAATATGAGTTTTTCAGTATTTGAGTATTTGGTAGAAAAGAAATTTGTTCTGATATTATTGCATTGTAAATTAACCCCTCCCAAGAAGAATGATGCATTTATTTAATAAAGAAAAGATTTAATGCTACCAGGCGTAGCCATGCATTAATTTCACTGCAGAACGTTACTATTTCTGCCGACAGATGGCGCTACCTTCTCGTTAGCTTTACTCCTGTTGAGTATAAATTATAACTGTAGCTTTGCAGATTTCTTTGTTCCTGATGAAGAGGAACCTGTATATATTTGCCTCGAAAATGATAAAGTCTTGACTAAAATCTACGCCAAACAAAGGTTGTTGATTTGCTAATTCTATGGACAGAAGTTAGTATTTTTGTTATATTCATTGTATACTTTTTTAGATATGCGAATTTTTAAGGTCCTACACGTTTAGAAAATATCACGCCCACTATTTACTTGATATTTTTAAAATGAAAATTAAAAGAGGTTGTTTTTCTTCCCACGCAAATTTTCAAATTTATCAAGCGAGGGGATAAGTAAGCTAGTGCCTGCTGTATCGAGTAAATTGTGCTCATTATTTTTTCCCTTAGTTTCAGGAAAAATAGAATCTGAAATGCTACATTAAAGATTATTTAATTTAATGTTGTTTAGTTTAAGTTCATTGCAGTAATATTTGAGATAAAGACTATTTTGCTTGTAAGCTTTTGCCTGAAAAATTTAATAATTCAACAAAAACTTCATATAACTTCGGCGTAAATATAAACTTGAGAGAATCAGATTTTTTTTTTCCAAACTTCAAAATTTAAGGTCTTTAATATAGGTCCTTGCAAATTAAAGTAAATAAATTACTATGCTATTCACTTTGAGTAGGTTACTGAATTCAAAGAATTCTAATATTAAATTAAATGAATAATAATTAAATCGCCTTGGAAAATTAAAATCGAGATATTCCCACTTTAAACACAGAATAAGAGGGAATGTTTCAGTCAGAAATCCCATATTTGCCTTCATAACAATAAAAAATATAAAATGAAAGATTAAAATTTTATTTTTATTAAAAACAAATTGTCCCCCTCTTCCGAATATAAATTATCTGCTTTCTAGAGGATTATATTGCCAATTCAAACAGTGGACTCGAAATAAAAATGAGAAAAAATTAAATAATAAACAATGAGAAGCCTTTTTTTTTTATTATTATTTAAATAACATCCTTTTAGTGTCAAAACAAAATCTCTATTAACAATCTTTACATTTCCAATCAAAAGACAAAGCTCCAGTAACCTCATTCGTCTTCAGAGCATTCGAATTATAAATTACAACTTAGTATTAGAAAATAATAAATCTACATCAATCAGAATCGCAGCCGATTTCAGCGAGACTTCCTGGAAAGCTAAGCTTGTTAAAAGAAAACGAGTGGACGTACCGATAGCTCCTGACCTCTTCACAAATCCTATTAACAAACTGGAACACTGAGAATAATAAAAGTGTTGCATGGTGAAAGAGTTACTCATCTTTTGGGAGAAGTTAGTGGTAGGGGAAGGGAGATATGAGACTCCTACATCTCCCGCTGTGCTCTTCAACCTGGGATAGAACTTGGACATAATCCTCGTCTTGTGTGCTGCAATGAATAAGCCAATCCAGTCCTCCTTTTCCTAAGGAGCAAAATAACTTTCTAAGGAGAAGTTAAGGAATTGCAGAGTGCGACTAATTAAATCCTTAGTAAAAACATACACGCGTTTGAACTTGGAATTTAATCGTAATATTCACCTTCCTTTCAGTGAAGAGCAACTCATCATTAAATTACAATGATGACTGAAAGAAAAAAAAAATGAATTGTTTAGTGAATCAGAACTAATCCATTAGCGGTAAATTATTTCGAAGATTATCTTTCAATTTTTTTGCGGTCCACGTTCATATTACATGTATAATCTGCAGTGTTCCTAGTACACGGGAAAACATTCAGTGTTTCGAAAGAATAGCCATTCTCATCTTCTGGATGCTTAACGTTGTTGAAAATTAAGCATTTCGTTAACTGAGAAATATTTTCAAAAATGAATCGCTTCTGAGCTTTTATTATATGAGATTATACACCAAAGAGAAATGTTCTTATTCTTGAATAAAATTAACCAATTTTCAATTTTAGAAATTAAAAATTGGTTAATTTTGTTCAAGGATAATTTTAGAAAATATATTTAATAATCTATTTCTAAATTAATAATTTTAGATTACTAATTTAGAATATTTTTTATTTTCTAAATTAATAAGTGATAATTTTAGATCAATTTTAGAAAGGATTAGGGTTAGTATTGTTCAGATTATGCAAAGCTCTCGAGGGCTATCTGCTTCCAAGAAGGATTTTATAATTTAGAAGTTTCTCATGCCATGTGGCAGTTTTATAGTTTTAACAAGAAATACAAGAATCAGGCGTAGTCTTGCCTTTCATGGAATATTTTCTAAAAGTCACTGAATCAAAATAAACAGAATAATGCTTCATTTCTCATAATATGTATGCTTATTACTCAAAAAAAAAAAAAAAAAAAAAAAAAAAAAAAATTAAACTTTCCGCTAAGCACATTATAAAATAAAAAAGAACTGAATTAAGTATGTATGAAATATAACAAATGAATGAATGAAAACTAATGTAATAAAGCATTATTTAATAAAAAATAAATTTAAATTTATGCAATTATGACGATTAGTAGCCATAAAATACTGGTATTTCGTCCTAGGTTTATTTATAACGGTTGAACAAATAGCTGTAAGTGTGTAAGTGGCTGTAAATAAAAACATCATAGTTCAGCTTTTCATTTACAACATAAATACAGGTGGGTTTCCTTTAGCAAATTCTTAACAAAGGCAGTTTCTTTCAGGTAATGATATTTTATAATCCAGTAAATCCAATCCAATCTGATTCATACACACGCTGATGGGATCGATTTTGAAGCCTACGTAAGGTACGTATTGTTTGTGTATTTAGTGTCTTTGGCATTTAATTGTCAGTCTAAAAGTAAACTTTTTGTATAGCTTAGCGGCAGAAAGAAGAGAGTAAGAGACCTTCGGAGTTTCATTTCCCAGCTCATTTAATTTTTATTATTTTCTAAATCTCGATCTCATTCTCGATTTCGACATAGCAGGAATAGAGGCTGGGATTATCTACAAATGTTTGGTAATTCTTATCTAGTTATTGACAGGAGAAAGGCTTTATATAATAAGAATACCGTACTTTTCCATATCGAAGCAAATAAACAGACTATTTTAAGTATGAAACCATATTATAATTAAAAATAAATTTGCAAGTAGATACAAAGAGTACAGAATTGTTCTAAATCAATATTAAATTATTCAGACTGTATACTATTCCAGGTACTCATATATTCCACAGAATCTATTAAAAATCTCAGCCAATTATGCAAACTTATAAAAACAGAAATCTTATTAAAACGTAGATACTTCATTCTTAGCAATTCCAATTAAAAAATATCTCATAATAATTTCCTAAACAAAGTGATATAAATATTTAAGGTTACTCAAATTGTTCAAACTTATATAGCGACAGCGAAATTTATTGAAAAATAAAGAAAACTTAAAAAAAATATCTTCTCTAGATTTTAAAGATTACGCAACGCATTTATCTATTAATCACATGTTAAAAATCAAGATAATTAAAAACTGTTTATGTCTCTCAGATGCTTCAGAAGATCGTTTACGAACTTTTATAGGCAGTACGATATGCACGAACTGATTATCATGTTATCGATAATATTTATTTGCACCTTACGAAACAGACTTTTATCTTCTTCAGACATTAAATGTTACGAACTAGCACAATGTATTACTTGAATAAGAAGTTGAGCGAAGTAAAATTTCTAACAAGGGAAGTACAATAATTTCAAAACTAAATGCAATAATACAAATAATTTAAAACACAAGAATACAACGATAAAATTCGAAACTTACCTAAAACTTCTTTAATCCACGTACAAATTCGAGCTATTTCAGCTTTCAAGAGTCTATGTTTATAGTGATGATGTCTCATGATTGTATAGCATATACCGAGTTCCTTCTCTGTTTCTTCTAAGATGTTTTATGACCTTTTCTATATTTTAGATTTATAGCTTGAAGTTAACAAAAGACGTCCAATTTTAATATTACTCCAAGACAATACTCGTTTTCTGGTTTTCTTGTGCCTTTCGAGCGAATATAAAGGTTACTATTCATACGGTTAAAGTAGCTGCTCAAACTGTTGAACACGTGTTAGAAGGGGAGCAATGTGTGAATACTCTAACAACACTAATTTAAAATTTGGATGGAGAATTTAAATCTTTTTTTGCACTCTAAAACTAGGAGCTGCAGATCAAACACCTGATCTAATTTTCCAACGAGAAAACGCTTCTTTAGATTTTTAAGGCTTCCCTTGAGCAAATATGTTTCTTTCAGTTTTCTAAATTGGAGCTGTTTGTTGATGAAAGCCTGTACCCAACAACTGCTGTCTCCTTTTAAAAAAACATTCTTTGTCAATGAATTTTCCAAGCTTTAGATTGTATTTTTTTTTAAAATAAGAGTTCATTAGTACGAAAGCGCTTTTAGTCTCAATTGAAAACAATAAAAAACGTTTTTTCTACACCTCAGTATGGCAACAATACTTACAGCGCAGTTGAAAATAACAAGTAACTTTTTTACTCCGCTGAGTCAAATGGACAAAAAGTAGATTACTTAGCTCCTGCTTAAAGCTTCATCCTGGGCCGTAACAATAGGAGAGTGAATGTTGAAACACTTTGTTCTCAAACTTCAAAATCACCGTCTTAACTTGCAGCCATCAAGTCAAATTCTCTAATGTTGTTTAATGCAGTTGAAAAGTCGTGGTTAGCTTTCTTGCCATAAGACAGAATGATAATCTTTTCAAAATGACAAGTTAGTAGTTTAAAATAGCGTCAGTTTTTATCTTTGAACGAAATTTGGCACAATATTCCCAAAGTACTGGCACCGTATTGATTTGCAAACATTGGGTGCTCTTTTCGATGGACGTTTTACGTGACTCGAATTGGGTGAAGAATTTCTCTCTTTGCCATCCCAAGGTGTTACCTACGTGACCGTGAAAACGAGGAAAAAGTGTCGTATTTGGACGTGGGGGTGCCATACAAACAAGGAAGAACAGTATGGTGGAGAACGGAGGTGATTATGCAAAAGAGAGCACGGGTGTGTTCACACACCTACTAGCACTAGACGCGCGGGTGTTTGTAAATAAATTAAGCGGTATTTCTTCATCTCTGGGTATAACTATCATATTTTCTTTCCGTCATGCGCAGCCACCCGTCAAAAATTGTTACGCGGGAGGACAGTGGTTTATGAACCTTGACGTCATCGCCGACGCAGTTTATGAACGAAAAAAAAATGCAACATGTTCATGAAAATATTAAACAGTAGAACCTCGATGCATTGTTCCCGATCATTTCTCCGCATGTATCTTTCGCATGATTGAATGAAGTTCTATATAAATACCGTCATATATACCCGCCTCCGTCTTTTATCAAATTACTGTTTCATGACATTATCACTTATAAATCACTTAGAGATTAAAATTATTACTTAGAGAAAAAGAGTTCGACCAAAAATAAGCAAATCATTAAACGATAATTTTCTTTTTCAGTAAGAAAGACTAAATTGTTTTTAACCTTTCTGGAAAGATTATTTTTCGAAAATTCAATTTTCTCGAAATACATATAATCTTTTGTTTAGCAAAACTGTTGCTGATATGATACTGAACATTGAAATTTATAAAAAAGTACTTATATTTATTACAACGAATCTAAAATCATGATTATGGGTTAAACAATCTGAAGGTGTTCGTTCATATTTTAACGATCACCCCAAAGGGCTTTTTTAAAGTTTAATATGGTTTATCAGCAAATATTGATACAGATGGCCCAAGTGAATAATAAAACATTTTATAGGGTATTACATGAATATGCAGTTATACTGACGTAAGAACATTATATATCTTCTGTATGTTTAAAAAGTGAAAAAATATGCAATATAATTCAATAAAAATATTTGATGTTTTTACTTACATATATCACGCATTAAATGCTACATATATCACGCATTAAATGCATTTGTATTTAAACCAAGCAGCTCAAAAAGGGGGGGGGATTCTTAAGAATTGCATGCATCTATTGCTTTTAAATAGTTTAGTTTGTTAATAAGACATGTTCATATGAAAGAAAATATCTTACGTTTTTCCGAATGACAACAGATTTCGAGTCTAAGAGCCTTTTGGGCTAAAAAATTGTTATTATATAACCCAGTAATATATGGGAGCAGAAGCATTCTTTCATAAGCTACACGGTGCTCTAATGCTGAATGTTTATAAGAAAAAATACAAATTAATTGCATTATAAATTATATAAGCAGATACGATATTGCAAAAAAGATACACAGACATTTATTGCTTCTAAATTGTTCATTATTCCGTATTACATGCAACGCATTTATACGATTTGAAAGTTAAATTTAAATTATTCTTCAGAATTACTAAGTCTTACACTTAACAGTTTGACAAGAAATATAAATTAAATATCTTCCGCTAAAAATTTGGCTACATCTTAAAACTTAGGATTAGTCTGGATTAGTCTTTGTCAAGAAGACAAATTTAAAATCTTCTGTCAGAAGATTGGCAGCTGCTAAAAAAATAGCAATTTGTGAGGACGCATAGATGAGTAATGCTGTGGCAGTGCTATCTATAAACATAAAGTGATGTGAAAGATAGAAGGCATCGTACTGTAAACTTTTCGAACGTCAAAAAGAATTAAATTATATATAAAGGAATAAATTTACTGCAGTCCAACAGAGCAGTAATTCCAGATGGTATAAAAGAGCAGCTCCTCTAAAACTGTTCGACAGTCAATTAACATCTGACTCTTTTGGACAGGAAACAAACTATTAAGTTAGAAAAATTATTTCTATTTAATAATGTAGGATAACATAAATTAAAATAGTATAAGCTACGTGAAAGAGAAAAACTTGAATTTCAATCCAATCGACGGTGGTAAGCTACCCAAAGAGAAAAAGCACTGTAAAGCACAAACTAGAAATGAGAAATGCCCAGCTGTGGTAGATAGCTTCCCTTCAAAACGGGGTTACGTTTGCCAGAAAATACCAAGGAAAGACTAGGTTGCCAGATTTGGCGCGAATTCGCCCATTTGGCGACAAAATTGACAATATGCCATAGACGGAGCGAGAGCATTTTAGAACGCATTCTTAGCGGTTTTTCTCGGGAAAGTTCCCTAAGGTAGGTTAAACCTATATGTACCCTGCCTGTAAGAGGAGAAAGTAGTATGTTGAGTTCAGAAATAGTATTTGGAGTTCAGAGATTAGCTTGAGAGAGATCAGTCGAATCGGGAGCTGTACTTTAGTGCTTTGCTGTGAAGCTGTCTTCACCGTTACAGCCTGAAGGCTGTGCTGCTGAATCTTTCAGTCTATTCATCGTAGTTTTTTGACGACTGTAAACGCGTCTTTGGAACTCTCCTGTGGCCAATAAATTGTATTTTGATTCTTAGTCAAGTGTTATCGTCAATTACTCCAAATCCACAAACCCGTAGAACGTAACAAAATAAATATAAATTCATAATCCTTTCTGTATTTTTCAAAGACGAGGCAGGAGAATTGTCAAACTACTGCTACTTGAAAGAGATCATAAGGAGTATGAACTTAAGTATTTTATTTTATTCACGTTTTGTTTTTATTTTTACATTTAATTTAAGAATTAATTTCTTAGTTTGTGATTTATGGTGTTTACTTTCCTTGGGTAGCTTACCACCTTAGATTAGATTTAAATTCAAAATTTCCTCTTTTATTAGCATTAATTTCGCAACAAATGTCATAACTTTAATAGATTTTAATTAAGTTTTACTCTATCTTTTTAAATAATACATGAATGCAGGAATGCAATAATACATGAATGCCCGCCGATGCATAGGAGCTAAGACGATTAGAAAAGAAACCCTTCAAGTTGTAAATTATAGATTTAGGCCAATTACCTTACGAGCAGTCTTTGGCCTAAAATTTCCATTATTCACAGTCTGTAAAGACGATCTGTTTATGTATAGGATTTTACATACATCTGCAGTCGCGAGAAGATATTTCTGATCCGTTTCCTTTACATGGGTTTAGATTACGAATGAAATCAGAAATACCTAAAATTAACATAGATACTAGCAAGCTAAAATAGTTAAAATCTTGTGCAACAAAACATCTATTGTTATCATTCTATTTCGCAAAGAGCAGAGCTTCTTAAACTTTTCATCAATCGCGACCTCTTTGAATCACTGAGATTTTTTTCGCGACCCCAAATATTAAATATAAAACAAAGATATAAAAATAAATATCCTCTCGTAAATAATTTATTCTTTGGTAAGCAATATACGTATAAAATGAGGTATTTTAAGATTTATTTTAAGAAAACAAAAATTAAAGAAAACTCTAATGAGACAGATGTGCGTGTTTTCTGCTGCATAACAAATGAAATATTATGCAGCATGCATGCGTATGGAAATGTTATGCGTGAGATATTTCACACTGTTGGACTTAAAGCATCTTCAGCATGTTTGAACATTGAACGACATTTGGTTTTAATTAAAGCTGAAAAAGTAGTTTTATAAAAATATATGGTGCTGATTGAGAAAAGAACATTTAATGCCATTTCAGAAATAATGAGAAATGCAGTTCAAACTCCGCCGCTAGATAGCTTGACAAATCCCTTTTACACTTTATATAACAGGTAAATAATCTTATTAGTATCAACTAATTTCATTTCTTTATAAGTCTCATCTCATTAATGTCAATTAGTGTAATTTCCTTAAAAGTCTTATGAATGAAGTTGCTTTAAATTTCAATATCGAACTGAATTTTCGTGACCCCATAACTTATAGTTTACGAAACACTGCTTTAGAGGTTTGTAGTGAAACTTAAGCCATGAAAGTACTTTTTACTTGCTTTCTGAGAGAGATACTTAAAGCTGCGAAATTATGTGCTATAAGTTTTGCGTCTTTTTAAGGTACTCTTGGTATTTAATAATATGTAGAGAAATTATTTTACTGATGAAAAATTATTCTAATTAATTCATACTGCAACAAAAGCAGAATTGTAAAATGTTTAAAAGTGTATTTTACAGTCATTCTTAATTAAATTTATTTATTAGTCGATCCATATTATTAGTCCAAAGGGCTTTAGCCCAGAAGGGCTATTAATTTTCGTTTTGGCATTTTGTGGCATTTCACTATAAACGGCGTTTTACTTTTGAAATTAAAGCCACCAAATATTATCGCCCTGTATTATATTAAAAGAAATTAAATAATGAAGAATCTGCATAAATGTATGTATGTTTCTCGCACTGCGATAAAACAACGGTAGGTCACCAAATTTGAATAACGTACGTTTCCATATGTTAAAAGCCCAAATTTGGAATTTGTTTCATTATCTATTTCATATTTTGTAAAGCATTTATGAGTTTTCGATTAAGAAACTCAACGATTTCAATGCGAGCAATGGCAACACTATACACTTTTTTTCCTCTAGCGTGCGAAATAAATAAAGGTAACACACAAAACGTTAAAATCTGAAAACGTTCAGACACTTTTTAAATATATTACTTACTCTTTTAAAAATTCAGGACATATGTGTACCTTTTTTCACTGAGCTGATTGCGAGTTGTGCAACAAATATTTACCGAAAGAGACGTGGCAACAATTTCTGTTTTAGTAGGACACAAAATTTTTCTGTTTTAGTAGGACACAAAACCAATAAGATGTGGTTTCGGTTGTTTAAAAATATTATGAGAAGTCGGTTATGAAACATTTTGAAATTTTTTAGAGATTTTTTATCTTACACAATCAACGATCTTCATTATCGTTATTTCATTACATATACTGGCGTAAGTATCATCACTGAAATTGAAATTTGAACAGACTGATAATAAATTAATCGTACAATCCGTTGCAGAATTTGAACTAACTTTGTTTGAAATGCTATATAATTAAACAACTTGCAAATCATACACTATTTTTACATGCAATACTCGAAAATTATTACGTAGTCCTTCATGCCCGACTGTTGAACCCTGTTCTTATGGTCATTGAATTCTTGTGTTAGGTTAATTTTCATAATTAAATAATAATTAAATACAGCGTACTACAGTTCA